ATTCTACCAAAATTAATTTAGTTCTTCAATCAAACTATCAAAAAAATATTTTATAGAGCTAGAAAAAATAGCAAAATTTACTTGGAAGAACAAATGGTAAGAATATCAAGGGTATTAATAAAAAAAAAAAGTAGAAGGAAAGTGGTCTAATCACACCAGATCTCAAACTATATGATAAAGCAATAATAATCAAAACAATTTGGTACTTCCTAAGAAATAGAATGGTAGATTAGTGGAATCAACTAGGTATACATTATACTGCAGTAAATGACTATAGTAGTTTAGTGTTTGATAAACACAAAGATCCAAGCTACTGGGAAAAAAACTTAGTACTTCACAAAAACTGCTGGGAGAACTGGAAAACAATATGGCAGAAACATAGTATGGCAGTGTAAGCACTGTATACCAAGTTAAGGTCAAAATGGATACATGATTTAGACATAAAGGATCATAATTAAAGTAGGGAGGCATGGAATAGTCTACCTGTCAGATCTATGGAAAAGGGAAGAATTTAGGATCAAACAAGAAATAGAGATAATTACAAAATATAAAATATATAATTTTGACTACATTAAATTTTAAAAGGTTTTGCACAAACAAAACCAATGCAACCAAAATTAAAAGGAAAACAGAAAACTGGGTAAAATGTTTTTCCACAGGCATGTCTGATAAAGGCCTCATTTCTCAAATATATAGAGAACTAAGTCAAATTTATAAGACTACAAGTCATTCCGCAACTGACAAGTGGTCAAAGGATATGAACAGTTTTTAGACAAAGAAATCAAAGCTATCAATATTCAAATGAAAAAACAATGTTCTAAATCACTATTGATTAGAAAAATGCAAATTAAAACAACTCTGAGTTACCACCTCATACCTATCAGATTGGCTAACATGACAGAAAAAGAAAACGAAAAATGTTGGCAGGTATATGGGAAAACCAGGACACTAATGCACTTTTGGTGTAGTTATGAAGTGATCCAACCATTGTGTAGAACAATTTGGAACTATGCCCAAAAGGCTGTAAAATTATGTATACCCTTTGATCCACCAAAACCACAACAGGGTCTATATCCCAAAGATGATTTTAAAAAAGGGAAGGGAGAAGGACCTATTTATATAAAAATATTTATAGCAGCCCTTTTTGTGGTGGCCAATAACTGGAAATTGAGGGAATGCCCATCAATTGGGAAATGGCTGACCAAGTTGTAGTATACGAGTGTAATGGAATGTTATTGTGCTATAAAAAATGACAAGCAGGATAATTTCAGAAAAACCTGGAAGACTTACATGAACTAATATAGGAGCAGAGACCAAAGGAGACAAAGGAGCAGAACCAGGAGATCACTGTACATAGTAACAGCAATATTGTACAATGAACAACTGTAAATGACTTAGCTATTCTCAGCAATATAATGATCCAAGACAATCCCAAAGGATTCATGATGAAAAATGCTATCTGCCTCCAGAGAAAGAACTGGTGGCATCTGAATACAGACTGAAACACACTATTTTTCACTTTCCTTCTTTCATTTTCTTTTTTTTTTTGGCTCAAATTTTCTTCCACAAAATGACTAATATGTAAATGTTTTACATGATTGCACACATATAAGTGATAGCAGATTGCTTATTCTCTTAGGGAAAGGGGAGAGGGGGCAGCTAGATGGTGCTGTGGATAGAGCTCTGGCCTTGGAGTCAGGAGGACCTGAGTTCAAATTTGATCTCAGACACTTGATACTTACTAGCTGTGTGACCCTGGGCAAGTCACTTAACCTCCATTGCCTCACCAAAAAAAAAAAAAAAAAAGACAAAGGGAAGGAGAGGGAAAGCAGGATGGAATTTGGAAAAGATGGGAAAATCTAAGAAAAAGTTACCATGAGTCATTTTTTAAGTCAAGGTGAGAATAGGGAGATAGATTCTGAAGACACTGGGCTCTGGCCAGGACTGCTACCTAGGAAGCATTCCAGTACAGGGAAAGGCTGCACACAAGGGCAAGTAGAGGTCCCAGACCTATACAAGGGCATCCTTACACCCATACTGGGGAACCACAGTAAGGACAGATATCAAATGGCAGCTTTTTCATCTCCTATTCAGTTCTGGGTTACAGATTCAAGGGAACTAAGGAGAGGACCTGCACTCTCCTCCAAACTCACTGCCCAGTGATCTCTGGCCTTAGGCAGTGGAGTAGGTTCGGAAGCAAGTAGCAGCAGTAGTATGGCTCAAATCCCAGAAACAGAACAGGATCTCAGTTTAATTTTCCAGCTCAGTTTGAAGCCTATAGAGGAATAATCACAGTAGAAATCCCAGGCCAAAAAGAAACCTGCAATTCAGTCACTCTAAACCAACAGAGTTTCTGAACTGGCTGACAATGGTCGCATCCACCTACTGTTGCTCAGATCCAAACCCAGGTCAAGAACTTGTAATCTCAAATCAGGGGATAGCAATCAGATTTTACTCTAGATCAGACTTTGTGAGGTCTGAAATCTTGTAGGTCCTCAGCTGAAGCTGTCCCTGAGCTACAGGAACAACACAACACTCAATATACCTCCCTTTACCACCACCATTCAAATTACAACAAGAGAAATTTGGGAAGACATAGATGAATTAATGCAGAGTGAAGTCAGCAGAACCAGGAAAACAACATATACAACGACAGCAATATGGTAAAAATAAAGAACTTTGAAAGAATTAGGAACTTTGTTTACTGTAATGACTAACCATGATTTCAGAAAGCCTCATGAAAGAACATGCTATCCACTTCCTGACAGAGAAGCAAGAGACTCAAGAGTACAGAATGAGACATATATTTTTTGCATATGTTTTTGCACATATTTGCACATGTTTTGGACTAAACATATTTGTAAAAAGGGTTTTATTTTTCTTTCATTCTAAATGGAGTGCATGTCCTGAGTGAAGTGAAAAGAACCAAGAGGACACTGTACACAATAACAGCCACGTTGTATGATGACTAATATTAATAAACTTAACCCTTCCTTGCAATACAAGGATCTAAGACATCTCCAGAGGCCTTGTGGTAGAAAATGCTATCCACATCCAAAGAAAGAACTATGGAAGTCAAAATGTTATTTTTTTTTCTCTTCTGTTGAGTTTTGTTTCCTCTTTCTGATGGTTCCTCCTATTGGTTTTAATTTTTACTTACAACATCACTAATGTGAAAATATGTTTAATATGAATGTAAATGTATAGCCTATATCAGATTGTGCACCGTCTTGGCGAGGATGGTGGGGAGGAAGGGGGAGAAAAATTTTAAACTCAAAAGCATGTGGAAGTGATTATTGATAAATCAAAATAAATTAATAAAAAAAAGATAATAAAAAAATAAATGGAGTGGATGTGGAGAGTTGAGGTGAAAGGAGGAAAAGCAGAGTTTTGCTCAATGAAAAAAATATATAATTTTAAAAATTAACAGGGAAATGAAGTCAAGACAAGGATAATGGACTGGTAGAACAGAGAGAGATCAGAGGTTACAATGAGGTTAAAAAGCAGTCAGCTCTGGAATTCAGATAAGGTAGAACAGTGAAAGGACAGAAGATTGTGAGCAATGAGGGAAAACTGAGAGTTCATAATTTTGACAAATCAGTTTTGGCATGACATTGAGATCCAAAGTATGGCCATCCTAGGATAGCTAGGATGAAGATAGCCTGGTGTAGTGGGAGGGAAAGCATTAGATTTAGATTCAGAGTGACTATGGACAAATGTTGGTTCTTCTACTCATTACCTGGGCAAGTTACTTTGCAGCTCTTGCCTTCAATTTCTATAAAATGAGGTGTTTGGATTAGATATCTTTAAAGCCCCTTACAGTTCTATATCTCTTCCTATAAGATAGAGGTAAAGGGGGTTGAAGAAATGAAGCCAGAGTACAAATGGCAGGGTCACCTGTATGAAAACTGAAGACATCAAAGATGATGAATGGGCTTGAAATGGAGAAGACAACCATAGCAAGGTACTAAATGAACCAAGGAAAATAAGAGAGTATCTTGAGATTATCCTGCCATTAGATGACAGAGATAAAGATCAGAAGAAAATGAGATTTGAGTCAGTGCCAGGAAGTGGAAGAAGGAAAAAGATATTAAGGGGTGGGGGTGTGTGTGTGTGTGTGTGTGAAGGGATCTGAGTGGGGGGGGTGAATAGGGGGATCAATTTGTGAGGGGAGATGGTGGTTAACAGTAGAGAGTTCCAGAGCATATACTGAGAAGAAAAGACAGAGGAGGACAGGAACTGAGATTATTAAGAATGATCCAGGGAGAAACAGTATGAGAAAGGTATTTTCCTCATATTCTGAATGACATCAATAGTAAGTTGGAATTTGCTTGCTCTAAGAAAGTGGGAGTACCAAATTGGTATATGTTTATAGAATAAACTAGCCCTTAAACACATTTTAGAACAGTGTTGTGACAAGCCTTCACAGAGCACCTTCATTGATATCATATCTCCCAGATGACTGATCTCACTAGTGTTACCTATTTTTTTGAATTCTAATGTTCTGAAAACAGCCTATCTGAATAGCCTATACAGGGCAGTTAGGTGACACAGTGGATAAAGTGTCAGTCCTGGCGTCAGGAATACTCATCTTCCTGACTGCAAATCTGGCTTCAGACATTTACTAGCTATGTAACCCTGGGAAAGTCATTTGATCCCATTTGCTTCAGTTTCCTCATCTATAAAATGAGCTGGAGAAGGAAACAGCAAACTATTCTAGTATCTCTACCAAGAAATCCCCAAATGGGTTCACAAAGAGTTGGACGTGACTGAAAATGGCTCATCAACAACAATATATCGTATATGTGGCAATTAATATGAAACTAATCAGAATATCTCTAACCACCCTGAACAAATAGGATTTTACTCCACCAAAAGCATTCCCTAAACAATTCTTTTAACTTAGGATTTTAAAAGAAAAAGAAATCCAAACCTTAGAAACAAAATTTCAAGAAATAAGAATGTAACATTTCCAACAACTACTCATATCACTATTTTACCTTGAAATATTTCCTTCTCATTCGAGTCATGTTCATTAACATAACTCCAGAATTTATTCCAGTTTTTCCATAGTATGGATGTCTGGCAAAGCGATTATACCAACCAATCCGAGGTTCCTCATGCTCTGGTGCCATGGCAGCAATTTGTGTGGAGTTAAATTTCTTTAGCAGTGACCAAATATCATCAACAGGGCGTAAAAAAAGAATATCAGTGTCAACATATAGCAGTGAGTCAACTTCTTTCAGGATTAACTGTAAAGAAGAATATTTGAACAATTAATTATAATTCCCCTTTGCCTGGAGAAAAAAATTGCACCATTTTGATTACATATAAATTTCAATTATACATTTATATTAGCTTAAAAAAAGAATGAATGAAAATTTGCCTCTCACAAATTTAACTTTTTCAAAATTTAATTTTTTTCACCCTAATCACCTACTACATACATAATATTATTACAAACTTTTTATTTTAAATGTAGTAACTCTCAACAAAAACAAATATTTTAACAATCGTCCACATCATTGTTCCAAATTTGTGGGAAGGGTAACATCAACAAAAAAAAAAAAAAAAAAAATGCAATACTTCACAGATGCAGAGCTGGAAAGGACCTGAGAACAGGCCAGTTAGTCCAACCTCCTCTCTTTACAAATGAGGAAATTGAGGCCCAAGGAGGTTAAGTAACTTCTTCAAGGTTATAGAGGTAGTAAGTAACTGAGATAAAATCTCAACTCAGGTCCTCTGATACCCTTTTTTCAGATTAAGACTTTATAATGTAATTTATCTGGAATAACTGGGTGACAGAAAGACCCACAACCAACAAACCCCCTTTGCTTTCTTCTGTTACTCTCTCCCCCTGGTATGGGCTGACCAGGACCCATCCAGGAAGTTTCACTGCTCACAGGAGTTAGATGAGATGGAAGTCACTAACTCTATCTGTTCTGGTGATATTAAGGACCATTAGACTTTACCATCTACTGTCCAGACACCCAGTTAACCTAAGGATCTCTGGACCTCATCATCTGCACTACCAAAACTCCCTTGGGAATTCTGGACTTTGCTATTCATTCTTCAGTTAAACTTTCTCTTGTACATTGTCTCCCTCAACTAAGAGCATGAGGTCCTTTAAAGCAGACTCTATTCTGTTTTTTCTATTTGCCATGTAGAAAAATGATTTCAGCTTAATAAATGTTTTCTTTCATTCATTCATCAAATCTATAACTGCTATGTATTAGCTGCTAATAATCTAAAGAATGAGGAAGAAAAACTAAACTATTAATTTACTGAATTACTAAATTTACTAAAATAAATTATTCAATTCAGAAAATAAAGATCATAGACTGATTTATCATGACATTCTAGACTTTAAAAAATAAGTTTCCTCAACTGTAAAATGAAAATATTTGTACTAAAACTTCACATACAACTTGTGAGGAAATTCCCTTTGCAAACTTTAAAACGGCTGCAGGAGCAGGTTGGGGGCTTACTAAGCTGCTCATAACCCTAATTTTTATTTAGATTTTTTTTTACTTTAAAAATTCCATTTTTAAACAATGATATACTGCTAAGTGTTTGTTTAGAGACTGTTACCTACTCAATCAACTGGAAACAAACAGCTTAAAGTTTAAGGTTGAAAAGAGAGCAATCAGAAATTAATATAATCACTTCAGCATTTCTGGAGTCTTTTTAAAACAATGTTTTTTCCAAAAGATTAGTAGTTTTCATCTCATTATCTGGGAACTAAAACAACTTTATCCAAGGGTCATCATTCAGGAAAGAATGGATTATTTTACACCTAACGCTGGTTAAATAAGGCCAGAGTTATAATGAGTATAAAAGACAAAGCCAATAAATTCTAAGGAATGATGTTCTTGATACAGGTTATCTTTAGGACATGAAATAGATTACTTCTGTAAAAGAATTTATACCACACAAGAACCAAATGAACTATTAAAAAGTGGGGGAGGGAACAGGTATGACAGAAAATAATCAATTCAAGTCAATTTTAGAGTAATACAAAGAACAAAGGTTGTAACAAATTTAGTATAAAATTAAGTGAATTTATGCCAATCACTTTGCAACAAAACATTTCTCAAAACTCTGAGTAAGCTTTTTGTTATTTCTAAACTCTTAATTTATATTCCCTTGATAAATTGGAAAAGCAAAGGGAAGGCATGGGAAGAAGTCACAAAAGTTATGAGAAAGATCAAGACTAGGTAGGCGTTGGCCATGTCAAGTAGAATAGACTTTGGTCCTAATATGTTTATTATGTTAATTATTATGTTAATACTAAACTCTTTTTAGTTACAAATCACAAAGAAATGGAATTTCTTTCTCGTTTTATGCACACGCACGCACACACACGTGTGTGTGTGTGTGTGTGTGTGGTAAGCCTATTTTCCACATCAATATCAGTTTATATGGTCTGACAAAGGTCTCCTTTAAAAAACACTTTCTTTTCTTGATCCTAAGACCTACGGTTGACATAATCATATGCTTTCCTGAAGGTACTGATTTTCTTAAGCTCTTACTACTTCAGTATTTGGTGCATATGGCAAAGCACCAATGCCTAGTCATAGTCAACTCTAGTCCGTGTTCTCCCATAAATTATCCACATTCAGTGTGCTGGACGTCTTCCTCTCTGTCTCTTTTTACATGGTATAGATACCAAATGAAGCACGTATGCTGTCCCTTGCTTCCTATTTTTTTCTTTTCCTTTTAAAGATTAGGTCTCCTTATCTCACTCAGGCTGGAAGTGCAGGAGCTTCTCAAGGGACAGTTCCCACTCTAATCCACACAAGACCTTCGACATGATCTATTTCTGACCTAGACCAGATGACCCCTCATTAGGCAACTTGGCTCCCTTCCCACAAACCCTGTTCTTGTTGACTCATCATACTAATGTTAAATGTAGTGAGGCCACCCGACTAACTTAGCTTATAGAAGAAGATCAGAACACCAGAGTCCAAGAGATCCACCTGCTTCAGTTTCTCCAAGAGTAGGGATTACAGGCATGCATGACTACATTGGGCCCATTGCTTTCACTAAACAAAACCCTCCCTCCTTTCCCAGTTCTACATCACTGCAGTGATATCCTTTATTCTGCTTAAGATCACAGGATCACAAATTTGTAGCTAGAAGAGCTGTGAGACCTTTAGAGGCCATCTAAGTTCAATTCCCTCATTTTACATATAGGTAAACTGAGGCAAAGAGAGCTTCTATGCAATTCTCTAGTGTTAATATGCTACTGTCTACTCACATGTACCTAATTTCCAATAATGAAATACAATGAAAACATGCTTTGATCAAAAAAATCGCTTATGAACCGCTTTTTAGTATTGTCTCTTTTAAGAACTTACTGGTAAAAACAATCTTTGTGAAGCACATGGTTTAAAGAGTTTTTTCCATTCTGCTGCATTCTCAGTCGGAAAAGTTATTGGATAGATAGTGTAATTAAATGTCTGTAGAAATTTCCAGCCGTTGAGCTAAAATAAAAACAATAGCACCAAAGGGGAAAAAATAGTTCAGTCTTCTTTTTTTTTTTAATCAGATCAATGAATCAACAATCATTTATCAAGCACCAAGTATATATAAGACATTATTCTAGGCACTGGAAACATAAAGACAAAAGTAAAGCAATTCAATATCAAATCTCCTCAAATGAATCTATACTTTTTAAGGAACCGGAGAGAAGGTTTGGATAATTTTTAAAATAAAAATTGTATCATTTATGTTGTATTATTTTGCAGAAATCATATTATAACTTTCTACTGCTTGTTTTTATTCAATTCTTAACATTACACTATCCATAAAATATTAATGAAGAATTTAAGCACATGTTTTGTTAGTATGTTATTTTTGATCTTGTAAGTTTATACTCAATATCCGTTTACAACTAGTAAAAAAGAAAACTACCAATTTTTGAAGAATTAGAATACAGTAAAATATACTTAAGACAAACTATTCTGAACACAATCAATTAGCAAACATTTATTAAGCACCAAGTATGCACAAGGCATTATGCTAGATGTGAGGGGCACAAAGACAAAATTGAAAATATTTTTGACCTGAAGGAGTTTACATTCTATTGGAGGGCAGGTAGAGACAACACATAAAAACATAAATACATGCAATGTAAATTAAAAGATAATGGTGGGAAGGGGACTGGCAACCAGAGATATCAGAAAAGACTTCATGTAACAGATGATGATTAAGAAGTACAGTCCAAGCATGAAGGACAGCCAGTGCAAAAGCATGGTGATGGGAAATGTAGAATTGTGTGTAGAACCAGGAAAAAGGTCAGTTTGGCTAGACTGTGAGGAAAGGAGTAATGTATAAAAAGGCTGGAAAAAGGAGTTGGGCCATGTTGTAAAGGGTTTTAAATGCCAACTATAAAAAAAAAAAGATGTTTTTAGCTAAGCCTGTAAGTAAACAAGAGTACTAGAGTTTACTGAGAAATGAAGTGACATGGTTAGACCTGCACTTTAGGGTTATCATTTACACCAGTGGTATCAAACTCAAATAGAAATAGATCCCTGAGGGCCATATATTGGCCCACAGGCCCTGAGTTTGACACTTATGATTTACACAACTAGGCAGTGGATAGACTAACGAAAGACTACATTGCAATCTTGCTGTTTCTTACAAAATAATCTTTTTTGAAAATTTAAAATATTTATTAATTCATTTAAAATAACAAATCCTCCAAACGTTAACATAAATAACATTTTAATGAAAAATAACTATATCAAAACAAAAAACAGTGAGAAGATTGGCATTGTTTTATATATTTTAACAAAACTCTTTAATTTCTTGCTTAATAGAAGACAGCAAGATTCTCATATCTATTTCTTTATTCAATCAGTTGGATTAAGTTGTTTTGATTGAAGTATATGAAGAAAATCTGACCTCATGCAGGTACGTAGTTGGAAAGGAGAGAGGGTATTTTATTATACAAATAACATATTACCATAATTATAGGAACTGAAAAAAAATCTTAACTGATTGCAAAAATACCCCACGGGCCTCTTAGTATTGAAGGTAATCATAATGAATAATAATTAACTTTGTAGAGATACGAAGCGCCAATTAAAAGAGTTCAATCATCAGTGAAATCCCAACTAAATCAATTTGTATTATATTATTCAGCTAGTCAAATATGCCTATATCAATTCCATTCTCTACCGATGAAATTACAATTTTAACTGGTCAGGTCAGTAATACTGATTTAAAACACAGACAATCATAAACTTATTCTATTAATTCAATAATAGTGCATTCATTAGAATCCACAAAGAATTTAAGCACAGGCACTAGATGATGACAAAATATTTTGACATTTTTACAACCATTCTGAGTCCCCCGGCCCAGTGAAGGAAAAAATACTATACAAGTTCAAAGTATTACTGGGTCCAATCCTATAACTAACTCAACTTCTTGACTTTTAGGTAAATTCACTTCTTTTCAGAACACTATGGTACCATTTAATATACTGATCCAGTGTCCTAAAAGAATTATCATCATGAATACCTAATAATAAAATGACAAATAATCATTTCTACAGCAATACCAAATTTCGTTTAACTCAAAAATAATAATTCCAGTTGCCACTCTGGAGGTGGATAGCTTTTTTCATTATGAGTTCTTTGGAATTGTCTTGCATCACTGAATTGATCAGAGCAGCTAAGTCTTTCAAAGTTGATCACCAATACAATATTAATGTTACTATGTACAACATCCTCCTGGTTCTGATCACTTCACTTTACATTAGTTCATTTAAGTTTCCAATGTTTTTTTCTGAAATCATCCCCATCATCATTTCTTATAGAATAATATTACTCCATCATAATCATATGTCACAACTTGGTCAGCTATTCCCTAACTGATGAGCATCCCCTCAATTTCTAGTTTTTTGCTACCACAAATGAGCTGTTATAAATATTTCTTTACATATAAATCCTTTATATTTTTCTTTGATCTCTTGGGTAGATAGATCTAACCCCAGTAGACATATTGCTGGGTCAAAGGTTATGTACAGTTTTATAGCCCTTTGGGCATAATTCCAAATTGTCCTCCAGAATGGCTGGACTAGTTCACAACTCCATCAACAATTCATTAGCGTAGCTATTTTCCTTCATCCCATCCAGCATTTGTCATTTATGATAGGTGTGAGGTGGTATCTCAGAGTTCTTTTAATTTGTATTTCTCTAATTATTTGTGATTTAGAGAATTTTTTTATATGATTATAAGTAGCTTTGACTGAAAATGGCCTTCATATCCTTCCATCATTTATCAATTACAGAATAGCTCTTATTTTTATAAATTTTACTCAGGTCACTATATATTTGAGAAATGTGGCCTTTATCAGAAAAACTTGCTGTAAAATTATTTTATATTACTTCATTGTCAATGGTATTTTTTTTAGCAAAATGTAATTTCCCTGATTATCTCTTTTAATTAAGTCTATTTTTGCTTTTGCTTTGTCCAAGAACATGATTGCTATCCCTGCTTTTTTTTTTTTACTTCAACTGAACCATAATAGATTCTGTTTGAGCCCCCTATTTTAACACTAAGTCTTTCTGTTTTAAATGTGTCACTTGTAAACAACATTTTGTTGGATTCTGGTTTCTGATACATTCTGCTATTTGCTTCTATTTTATGGATTAGCCCATCCCATTCACATTCATGTTTATGATTACTAATTTTTACTAATTACTAATTTCCCTCCACCCCATTTTCTTCTGTTTATCCTTATCTCTCTCTTTTATCCTGTCTCTCCACAAAGTCTGCTTTGCTTCTAACCTATCTCCCTTAATCCGCCCTCCTTTTTATCATTCTCCCCCAACCCTTTCTGTAATCCCCTTCCCCTCCTGTCTCCATGTTGGGTAATCCTATTTCCCTGTTAGGTAAGACAGATTTCTATACCCAACTGAGTGTGTATATATATTCTTCCTTCTTTGAACAAATTCCAGTGAGAATGTCTTTAACTGTTGCTTGCCATCACCCTCCCATCTTCCCATTCACTGTAGTAACTCTTTCTTGTTGATTTGGATTAATGACTTTCTTTCCCCACTATTTCTTCCTTTTAGAAAGCACTGAAGACAATGGTTTGAACTTTATTCAGAATGAATGTTCTCCTTGTACTGAAGTTGAGTATGTTTGTCTGGTTTTGATATTTTTGTGTGATTGGTTTTGATGTGTTGTGGTTTAATATGAAAGCCCCTGAGAAGAGAGGCTGCTATCAAGTTAGCCTCATAACTCCTTTAACTTTCACAGGGCAGCCTCACTCCTGGACGTTGAGATGACACCCAAGCCTAATACTGCTACTAGCACACGAAGTATACTTAGTGAAGGAGAAAAAAAGTTACTTCCTTGTACAGATAGCGGTCACTAGAAAGTCTGTTTTCTAAGGATTTTTAGTAACTATTAAAGAACAACCACACTCATCATTCTTGGATTTCAATGGTATCAGAGACAGAAGGAGTTAACTCACCAGCACCTACTGTGCAGCATCAATTTTAGTAATTTTATGAACTTTTTTCTTTAAGGAAAAATTTTTAAGGAAAATAGGTAGGATAATATATTTTGTTAACATAACTAGAGATCAATTTTAATGAATAGCTTTCCTCTCTAAGTAATAATGATGGAGAGATATTATTTTGCAAGACAGTAGGGGGAAAAAAGGATTATTTTATTTGTTTGGTTTTTGTTCGTTTGTTTGTTTGTTTTTTAGGCAATTGGGGTTAAGTGACTTGCCCAGGGTCACACAGCTAGTAAGTGTCAAGTGTTTGGTCTGAAGTTATATTTGAACTCAGGTCCTCCTGACTTCAAAGCCGGTACTCTATCCACTGCCCACCTAGTTGTCCCAAAAATAGGAATATTTTAACAAGAGAAAGGTTCTCTATTAATTCCAATAGAGTTTGGGATGGGCAAATGAGAGTATGTGGCACAGGAGTACTTGTCTTTTAATAGAAACTGGTCAGAAGTAGTACTGGGGCCCTCTCTCTATCCCTAACTGGGCCAGTAAAATATGGAGAAAGGCTGGAGTACAAGTCGATTTTGTAGAGTGCCCTGGGACAGTTCAGCAATGAAATATGCTCAGGATGTGAAGTAAGTGAAAAGGTTTGGTTTTAACCCCATTTGGTTAGAGGTAAAGTGCTTGGATTCCAGCTAGTCTTGGGTGTGGTCTGAGAAGGGAGAAGGAGGGTATAATCTTTTTGAAACATTACTGTTTTAGGTGAGAAAATTTTCACAAAACTCTTTTATGTGAGAAAATTTTCACCATTCTAACTCTCCCTTTCTCCCTTCTCTCAGTGAATCCTTATTTCTCCCCTCTTCTTAGGTGTTACATATAGGAATGTAAGCAGTTTAATCTTGCTAAGGCCCTTATGATTTTTCTTTTACATTTACCTTTTTATGCTTCTCTTGAGTCTTGAGTTTGTCAAATTTTCTGTTCAGCTCTGGTCTTTTCATTAGGAACGACTGAAAGTCCTCTATTTCATTAAATATTCATTTTTTTCCCCTGAAGTTTTGCTGAGTAGGTTATTCTTGGCTGTAATCCTTTGCCTTCTGGAATATCATATTCCAAGTCCACTAATCCTTTAATGTAGAAGCTGCCCCAGACCTTGTGTTATTCTGACTGTGGCTTCACAATTGTTTCTTTCTGGCTGCTTGTAATATTTTCTCCATGATCTCAGAACTCTGGAATTTGACTATAATATTCCTGGGAATTTTCATTTTGGGGGGGCCTTTTTCAAGAGGAAATCAATGGATGGATTCTTTCAATTTCTATTTCACCCTCTGGATCTAAGATATTAGCAGAGTTTTCCTTTCTAAGTATGAAGCCTCCTGAGAGAGCATAAGCAAAGTCCTCCTAGATCAAGGGTAAAAGGCTCTGAAGAACACAAAACATTCTTGATTCCGGGAGGAAAGACAGGAAGGAAGATGTTGTCTCCAAGGTTGCCTGTCTTGTAATTAATTATGAGGGGGAGTCACTAAGTAAGACTGAATTTTCAGTTTTCACCAACATTATTTATCTATAATGAACAGACAATCACATCCCCTCACTCCTCTGTCTGAATATATGCATGGCTCTCATGGTCTCTGCAATGTACACTTGGCAACATTTTTGTTTCTGTTTCTGAAAATAAAGTATTGCAGCTCTATGCTCAAATTCAATTCATTGTGTAGCTATATAGTCTGTGTCTCACTCACTATAGCAGCACACTTACTCATGCTTTCTAAGAAGCCTGGCCTGGGGGGATGTTTCCAGGGGGACATCTCATGACCAAGGTTAGAGCTAGGGGTAATTCAATTCAGTAACATTTACCGGATGTAGGACTGCTAAGATATTTGCACTTTGCCCCTCCCTTTCCCATTTAAGTAACTGGGACAAATAGAGTGGTTCTGCCTTTTAAAATCATCATTAGAAGGGATGGCTAAGGGAGATAGGAAGGGATATATTCAGAAATGAAAGTGACATATCAATCAACCAATCAAGTATGCATTAAATACCAATAGTGTCAGGCAATGTACTAGCCTTTGGGAATACAAATAAAATGAATGAAATAACCTCAAGATAGCAGTAAACAGATTTAAAAAGAATAAGGTGCAGTGCAAAGAACACTGGTTTGGAGTCAGAGAAACTGAGCTCAAATCCCATGGCTGATGCTGGCTGCCTGTGTGACACTAGGCAAGTTACCTGACCTCTCTGGTATTCTCAACCGTAAAATGAGAAGATTGAACTCAGTGGCCTCTGAGATTTCTGCCAGCTTTGAATCAATAATGTTACGATCTGGAAAAATTTTTTTTAAAAATCACCTCCAAGGGAGATTCATGATGACAGGTTGAGTTTGAGTTAATAATTGAGAGATACTGAAGAAGGCAGAGAAAAGGATGAACTAGGGAACTGCTGGATCTCAATCACTCTCTCTGTCTCTATTTTTCTGTCTCTGCCTGTCTCTGTCTCTTTCTGTCTCTGTCTATATGTCTCTCTCTGTCTCTGTCTCTCCCTTCCTCTCTTTCTCTCTCTCTCTGTCTCCCTCTGTCTCTCTCTCTCCCCCAAAGTGATGACAACTAGGGAAGAAAACTAAGATTCGATTTCCTTCCCTCCCCTTATCTTATACTGGGAGGTTGGAATTGAAATACTGGAGAACATCAGATGACTGTCACCAGCCTGAACAGAGAAACAGATCGACTCATCTACCAGCAGATTTTAAAAAGTATGAAGCCTAAGCTCTTTTGTTTTTTACCATAGCTTTCAGGTAGTCTAAAAATTTTTAAATTCTCTCTCTTTGATCTATTTTCCAAGTCAATTGTTTTTCCAATGAGATATTTCACATTTTCTTCTATTTTTTCATTCTTTTGACTTTGTTTCTTGACGTCTCATAGAATCATTAACTTCCACTTCAATTTTTTAGGAATTATTTTCTTCAGTGAGCTTTTGTGCCTTTTTGTCCATTTGGCAATTCTACTTTTTAAGCTCTTCAGTGAATTATTTTTACCTCTTTTATGGTTAGGCCAATTTTGTTTTTTAAGATGTTATTTTCTTCAGGTTTTTTTTAATCTCTTTTTACCAATTATTAATTCTCTTTTCATAATTTTCTTGCATCACATTTCTTTTCCCATTTTTTTTCTCTACCACTCTCATCTCTTTCTTGTTGGGCTTGTATCCAATTAGCTTTTTTTTTTTTCTGAGGCTTCGCATGTAGGCATTTTGACATTGTTGTCTTCTTCTCAGTTTATGGTAGTCTTCCCTGTGACCAATAGTAGTTTTTTATGGTCAAATTTTTTGTTGTTGTTGTTTGCTCATTTTTCTAGCCCATTTCTTGACTTTGAACTTTATGTTAAAGTTGGGCTCTGCTCACTTGAGTGTGGGGAGGCACTGTCCCAAGCTTCAGGCTTTTTCATGCTGCTGTTTTCAGAGCTAGTTCTGGGGTTCTGCAAGGTTTTGGTGCTTCCAAAAAGGTGTGATACAGGGAGATCTGCTCTACTGGTCTGCACTCTGGTCTTTACCCAGCAAGTATGCCTGCTTCCCTGCAGCTGCCCTGGAACTGTGACCAGCCCCCTTCTCTCCTACAGCCACAAGTACTAGTAGTCTTCTCTGTCTAGGAACTGGGACCTGATCCCTTGCTCTCCTGCATCCACAAACACTAGTGCTTCTCTCTGCCTTCAAACTGTGACCAGGGCTCCTGCTCTCTTGTGACCAACCACAAGTGCTACTTTCTGCCCTGGAAATGTAACCCAGAACTGCATATGGGCAAAAGATTTGCCAATCAGCACCAACTGTACTCAGTGCCAGCAAAGGGTACCCTGTAATCTCTTCCTGACCAGTTATCCAACTCCCTTACCATCTCTGCGCTGAGAGTTCCCAAAGCTGCTCCTACTAACACTCTTAGGACCACCTCCAAGGCCTGCATGAGGTCTGGACAGGCCCCCATGCTAGTGTCATAGACCTCTCCTGCTGACCTCTTGGTTTCCTTAAGCTGGAAAAACATCTTTCCCTGAACTTTAGTTGGTTTTGTTGCTCAAAAATTTGATTTGAGATATTATCTTAAAGTTTTTTAGAAGGGAATGTTGGGAAAATTAGCTGGGTTGCTGCCTCTCCTCTACCATCAAGGCTCTGCCCCTACTAAGTTCAACTTTTAAGATAACATTTGAAAGAAATATAAAATATCACAATTTCCAAAAAAGGAATTTTTACTAGTTGAAACCAGTAGTGTTAAAAAAAAAAAAAGCTCAATAAGGAAGTTGAATTAGATTAATATTTTAAAAAAGAAAACTAAAACTTTTTTCTTGAATTAATAAGTAGAAAAATTGTCTATATAAATTTGATATTCTTAATTAAGTAAAAAATAAAGCAACCTCCAAAAAATCCTCAGCTTTATAAAAACCTAAAATGCTTCATTTAATATTGTGAAAGAAAAGTTCATAAAAAATGTAGAGAAATGGGAAGGACTGATATAAGAAATTTAAAATGTAAAACCTTAATAATCCAAATTCTGTTAAATCATAATTTGGCTTTACTTTTGTAAAGCAAAACAGTTTTCTTCACAAAAAATGCAAGCTGTCAATGCAGAAATATTTCATATATTCAATATAAATAATGAAAGGAAACATTGTTTTCTAGCATCATTAGGAACTTTAGGCATTTCCATTTCTATTATTCTAATTATAAACAATTATTACGTGTTACATTAAAACATAATTTTTAAGGATTTCTCCGAGATAATTCTTGTTCATCTAATTTGACAATATGTCTTAAAATAATAAAGTTACACTGTTTAATTACTTCTAATTTAGCTTACTCTAGTCTTTGAAGTTTTCAACTCTAACATTCAATAAAAATATGTAATTAAATTTTTTTCCACTCAAGATAAACTTCTACTCATGAGTAAGTTTTAATTTAGTTCTCATGAATCAGTCATCAAGTACTTATTAATAAGCACTTACTGTGTTAAAGGCATTGTACTATCAGTGACATAGCATTATTATCTAAAAAGCTTCAACTATTGTTTAATTTATATCAACATATTTGCTATATGTATACAATAAAATAATAAATTCTGTAACCTATCCCAAATACCTACTATGTTTTTGAAGCTGTGCTGCAATTGGTCTTCAGCAAAAATGTGAAACTGAAGAGGCTGGATGCTGAAAATAACAGCTGATTTTATCATAGTTACAGTCTCTTCCAGCCGTTCACCACAGGCTACCACGGCTAGGTGCATTGTCTCAGAAGACTGTGTTTTCATCAGTCTATACCTAATGACAAAGAAAACATTTTAAGTGGTAAAACTTTCAATATAGCTTTAGAATATTAGCATAATTTACCATATGAAATACTCCATAATAAACAATGAAACATCACTGAAACTAACTACTCAGAGGTTGTGGTTTCTCCCTCCCCAACTGTGAAATCAGGAAGATGATACCATGACTTGCAAATGAACTAGATTTAAGTGAGGGAAGGCTGTGCAAAGTCACCAGCCTTACTTTCTCCTCCAGAGCCATCTGAGTTCAGTGGCCAGATACAGGTCAGGACAACTAGAGATGGCCCACAATGCAGAGGGAGACCTCAGTCTTTATAAGCTAAGGTCTTTTCAAGGTCTCACTTTTATTGAGGCAATGCCCATTTAGTGATTAGGGCTGTTTAAGAAATGAGACAAGGGATGGCTTCTTTAATGCAAATATGTGTGTGTGTGTGTGTGTGTGTGTGTGTGTATGTATATGTATATGTATATATCTCAAACTGGGAGGGGAAGACCCTCAGGGTTTCTGGCCAAAAGAGAAACATTACTATTTACATTTACTCTGAGTCATCAGGGCCAAATAATAACCATTAAATGGTACTTGGGTAGGGGCTTATTGTTCGCCAAAAATTGAGAATCAGAGTGAATTGAGTTTAAGGAATATTCTTTAAGGAAAGAAATCTAGCCAGTGAAGCACAATATAGCTAGGAAGGTTTCTGCCTTCTAAATTTACCTTCCTTTGGGCAGATTAACCTCAGGTACGTTCATAATACCCCATGCGAAGAGAGGAGAGCAGAGGAGAGGAGAAGAGTAGAGAAGGGCTGAGCTGCCCAACTGAAATTGTCACTGACTCAAAGTGAGAATTTAGTTTAAAAGACCTTAGCTTAAAAAAACCAAGGTCTCCCCCTGCATTGTGGGTCATCTCCAATTGGCTCCAGAGCAGAAAGTAAGGCTGGTGAATTTGCCAGCCCTCTCTCACTTAAATCTAATTCATTTGCAAGTTATGGCATCATCTTCCTGATATCAAAGTCCTCTTCCAGAACGAAGGACAAACCACTACCTGGGAGTAGTCCAAGCTGGCCACTGGGGACCCAACTGACCAGTTTCAGTTGGGCAACTCAGCTCCTCTCATCCCCTCTCCTCTACGCTGTTGTCCCCTCTCCACATGGAGTATGAAGACCTTACCTGTGAGTGATCTGCCCAAAGGAAAAGAAATTTTGAAGTCTGAATCCTACCTAGGTATCTTGGGATTTATTGGCTAGATTTCGTTCTTAAAGACCATGCCTTAAACCCAATTCGCTCTGGTTCTCATGGATTGGTCAACAATAGGTCCCTATCAAAGCACCATTTAATGATTATTGTTTGCGCCCCTCGCCCCATGACTCAGAGGGAATGTAATTAGTAATTGTTTCTCTTTTGGTCAGAAACCCTGAGAGTCTTCCCCTCCCAGTTTGATTTTTTTATTCTTTTGCATCAAAGAGGTCACCCCTTAGCTCATTTCTTTTCCTTTAGTTTTTTAATTGACTCAAACACCAGAACACAAATACAGAATAGAGAAAAGAATTTTTAAAAATCATAAACAAATATTGGAACTTAATTACAAAGTAAGAAAAAGAAAAAGCATAGCAGAACATAAGAGAGGATTCAAAATATGTAACAATGGAGCGGGAGCCAAGATAGTGGAGGGAAAGCAGTGACTTGCTTGAGCTCTCCCCCAAACCCCTCCAAATACCTATAAAAAATGGCTCTAACCAAATTCTAAAGCAGCAGAACCCACAAAAAGATAGAGTGAAACAAATTTCCAGCCCAAGACAACCTGGATGGTTGATCGGAAACGTACATCGCACTGGGGGGGGGGGGAAGGGGAAGGAACGCAGTTTGGCATGCACGTAGGCCACAGCAAACCTGGAGCAGGCCTCAGAGGACTGAATCATGGGCAGCTGTGGCGGTTTCCAGACCTCTCAACCCACAAACACCAAAGACAATTTAGAAAGTCAGTGGGAAAAGTCTGTGACTGCGGTGAGAAAAGAGCTAGGTCTCAGCCACAAGTCTCAAGTGCAGCCTGGGGCCGTGGCTATTTCCTGAGCTTCCGGCCCACAGACTGAGAGGGAATTGAGTGCCTGATCAGAGGGGGATTGCAGGGATCTCTTTGCCAGTGCTGAGGCAGGAATCTCTTGCTTTGCCTGTGCTTGGATCTGGGTCACAGTTCTGAGGGGCGGTCCTGGGGCGAGGAGGAGTGCTGGCCTGGAGGAGCTTGTTATGGCAGTGGAGAGGAAACACCTCGCCCCTTATCCTAGCACCTTGGAAGAACTGAAAATTTACAGGTCCCTAGAAGTATCTCTGAAAACAGCTGTACAAACCCCCAAAGCTTGGGACAGTACATTCTCCACACTGGAAGCAGACTCTTATCTTAACAAAGAGTTTAAAACTCAAGTAATTGGCTGGGATCATGAGTAAGCAGCACAAAAAGAGTCAGACTATATTAACCTTCTTTGGTGACAAAGAAGATCAAAACAGGGGCAGTTAGGTGGCACAGTGGATAGAGCCCCGGTCCTGAAGTCAGGAGTACCTGAGTTCAAATCCGGCCTCAGACCAAACACTTGACGCTTACTAGCTGTGTGACCCTGGGTAAGTCACTTAACCCCAACTGCCTTAAAAAAAACCAAAAAAACAAAGAAGATCAAAACATACAACCAGAAGAAGACAACAAAGTCAAAGCTCCTACATCCAAAGCCTCCAGGAAAAATATGAATCAGTCCCAGGCCTTGGAAGAGCTCAAAAGGGATTTTGAGAAGCAAGTAAGAGAAGTAGAGGAAAAACTGGGAAGAGAAATGAGAGTGATACAAGAAAATCATGAAAAACAAGTCAACAGCTTGTTGAAGGAGACCTAAAAAAATAATGAAGAAAATAACACCTTAAAAAATAGCCTAAACCAAATGGCAAAAGAGGTCCAAAAATCCAATGAGGAGAAGAATGCCCTAAAAAGCAAAACTGGCCAAATGGAAAAGGAAGTCCAAAAGATTACTGAAGAAAATACTTCCTTAAAAATTAGAATAGAGCAATTAGAAGCTAGTGACTTTATGAGAAACAAGACACTGTAAAACAAATCCAAAAGAATGAAAAATTAGAAAACAATGTGAAATATCTCATTGGAAAAACAACTGACCTGGAAAATAGATCCAGGAGAATTTAAGAATTATTGGACTATCTGAAAGTCATGATCAAAAAAAGAGCCTAGACATCATCTTTCAAGAAATGATCAAGGAAAATTGCCCTTATATTTTAGAACCAGAGGGCAAAACAGAAATTGAAAGAATTCACCGATCTCCTCCTGAAAGAGATCCCCAAAGGAAAACTCCTAGGAATATTGTAGCTAAATTCCAGAGTTCCCAGGTCAAGGAGAAAATATTACAAGCAGCCAGAAAGAAACAATTCAAGTATTGTGGAAACACAATCAGTAGCAGCTTCTACATTAAGGGACCGCAGAGCATAGAATATAATATCCCAGAGGGCAAAGGAAATAAGATTACAACCAAGAATCACCTACCCAGCAAAACTGAGTATAACCCTTCAGGGGAAAAAATGGTCATTCAATGAAATAGAGGACTTTCAAGAATTCTTGATGAAAAGACAGAGCTGAATAGAAAATTTGACTTTCAAATACAAGACTCAAGTGGAACATGAAGACGTAAACAGGAAAGAGAAATCATAAGAGACTTATTAAGGTTGAACTGTTTACACTCCTGCAAGGAAAGATGATATTTGTAACTCATGAGACATTTGTCAGTATTAGGGTAGTTGGAGGGGAAAAAATTATATGTATGTATAGATAGATAGATAGATAGATAGATAGATAGATAGATAGATAGATAGATAGAGGGCACAGGGTGAGTTGAAGATGAAGGGGTCATATCTGGAGAATGAAATTAAGGGATGAGAGAGGATTATACTAGGAGAAGGAGAAAGGGAGAGGTAGAACGGAGTAAATTATCTCACAAAGAAAAGGCTCTTACAGTGGAGGGGAAATGGGGGAAGGTGAGAGGGAATGAGTGAATCTTATTCTCATAGAATTTGACTTAAGGAGGGAATAACATACCCACTCATTTGGGTTTGGAAATCTGTCTTACCCTACAGGAAAATAGGGGGAAAGGGGACAAGAGAGTAGGGGGATGATAGAGAGGAGGGCAGATTGGGAAAGGGGGTAATCAGAAGCAAATACTTCTGGGGAAGGACAGGGTCAAAAGAAAGAATAGAATAAATGAGGGGGGCGGAAAAGAATTAAGGGAAATAGAATTAGTTTTTCACAGCATGTCCACTATGGAAGTGTTCTGCATAACTGCACATGTATAACCCATATTGAGTTGCTTGCCTTTTCAGTGAGGGTGGGTGGGGAGGGAGGAAGGGAGAAAATGTGGAACCCAAAGTTCTAAAAACATGTTTAAGAAAAAATGTTTTCACATGCAACTGGGAAATAAGAAATACAGGAAATGGGGTACAGGAATCTATCCTGCCCTACAGGAAAATAGAAGGGGACTGGGATAAGAGAAGGGGGGATAGAGAGAAGGGAAGGCAGACTAGGGGAAGGAGTATTCAGAATGCATGCCATCTTGGGGTGGGAGGAGAGGCGAGATGGGGTGAAAATTTGGAACTCAAAATCTTGTGGAAGTAAATGTTGAAAACTAAAAATAAATAAATTTATTCAAAAAAACAAAAAAAGAAAAAAAGAAAAAAGAAAAACTTTGAGCAAATAAGTCATGTCAACAATTAGAAGTACCCAAATTAGCTATAAAGGACATATGAAGAAAGACACTATCTGCATCCAGAGAATGAACTGACAAATAGAAGTATATACAGAATGATTTTACACACATACATATGTATACATACATATATACCTATTTATGTCTAACGGTAGGTATCTCTGGAGGGAGGGGAGAGGGAAGAAAAAAAGAAATGTACATGATTTATTACATATTTAAAAGAATTAGCAAATTGTACATAATAGCAATTTCA